AGATAAGTTTGGTTAAGACTCTGAAAAACCTCTACATTCGTGTATGCTGTACCTAATAGGCGTGAATAACTTCTTTCAGCTAGATAGTGTTCACCATGCGCCTATTCGACGACTGCCATAGCAACAACAGCCGGACCCACTGGATTCGAAGCACTATCAATGGGTGTGACCACCAGCGACGGTAATTTGTATGCCTATAGACCACAAAGTTCAGTTCATTCAAAGATAACTGACACGAAAAACAGAATCTCTTGCTTATCCCAATCCAAGCTGTGGTAAACTGCAAGAAAAATATAGCTGGAGATGAGTCCCACCATCATTATCGAGCCAACCCGACAGATATCGGAAATTATAATGCACAAGTTAGACACCTAAACGTATAGGAAATTCGCGTAGGTGATCATCTGCGTACACCAAATAAGTGATCGGATAACGGGCAAAGTTTTCTGCTGACCACAATGAATCCCAGCTAGCACCAACATCTGGTGGTCATCTCTGCCGAAGCACTAGCTGGTATCCTACCGGTCACTGAAATCCGGATATAAATAAATCACATCGTAACTAGCCACCGGTGGCATGATTGCATGCAAGACTATCGACACATCTGGAGCACCTGTTTCTACTTTGATCATACTTCACTGTGGATGGTAGCACCAAGGGTGGTGTTAATTGACAAGTGTATCTTTTCACACAAAAGCTCAAACTGCCTTCCATTGTGAACGTCATGCGCTTCTATCAAATCCAGTACAACAACAATCTGTAGAAGTTAATACAACTTTAAAACAAGGTGTGTCGTCCTCGAAAGGTGGATTTGGTTTTGGTGCACGCGAAATTAAAACAAAAAATGTGAAGAAAAAGTATAATCCAAGTAAACGTAAAACTAGTCATCTATCAACAAATAATGACGCAGAAGATGATACCCTCAGTGGTTCCGGTGACCCACAATCGTTACTTAAAGATATCTTTACTCGTTATATCCTGATAGACGAAGTCAAAAGTATTTTATCATCACAGTTGCCAAGTGATGTACCAGATGAAGTCATCGATCAGATTGCTGACCTTATGGAACCTTCTCTACTGCAATCATTCACACGTTATATCAATTCTTTGTTATCACCCAATTCAGATACTAGTTTCGACCGTGAACAAAAAATCCAAACACAGGATGTGATCAACAGTATGCTTCTCAGTGTACAGGTAAAAAAATCTTTTAGGGCTTTTGCTTTCGATGTTATTAGTTAGGTTGAAGATAATTTTCATCAAGGGGTAGGATTATTTGCAAATCAATGGAAAACTACTAGGGATAGAATTTCTGTTTCTTACCCTTCGAAACTCTGATGATGTCAGGTCGAATACATGACTTGTAGATTTCACAGTGAGCTTGTTGCCAGTGGAAAAGTAGTCGTCAGCCTTTCTCAACCCAGTTATGCATGATGCCTACTATGAAAAAGGGTAGGAGAGAAGATATGGCATCAACCCACTAATTGTAATTGCTGGTATCAACCATATAGGAACGTGTATATTTCCACTTTTGCGTTTAAGCGACAGCACAAACTACTCGTTGAATACTCTACGCAATTAGGCTAACAAACGATGATACAGGTGTACATGCATCCACACATAACTCTCCTGTTAATCGTCAAACTAAATCCCCGTGTTGTAATTCTCCCTATCACTCTTTTGATGACTTTCTACCATTTCTCACCGCTTTCTCCAGAATTATTCATATCATTTTGATGGAATTTCGCTTGACTTGCTGATATGATGTGAAAAACTTGGATCATGTTGTAATAATCTCAGGACTCACCTTGATATCTGTTTATTAAATCTTAGCTAAGGACACTGAGATTATGGATACTTTAGTTAGGTTGGTTCCCCGTGGTTTTCAACCAGACTTCTCTCAACTCCTGTAAACTAGAATGATTGACGATCTGCAGCAGCGAGACGAGACTCCTTGTGATTTTCATAAACTACCTATTACCCTTGTTTCTCAACTGAGTAGTTTTCAGCATTCATCTTAAGGACACTTCGGAAGCAAATACTCAGACTCTATTGCTTTGCATAGTTTCAGGCTAGAAACAACCTTTTCAACTTCGGGGACAGTTGGACGACCAACGTCTATGCCTTGTTCACACTCGGGCTGGAAGCTATAGCAGCGAAGTGTGGCTGTACGCCAGTTGCACTTACTTCTAGAGTGATCCGCACAATGCTCCACCCACTTGTCCTGTACGTCATCAGGCAATGATCATTCTCTATGTCGGTCTCATTATCTCTCTTTTCGCGATAGTCTCCCTAATAAGCCCAAAAAAACATCGTTTATTGCCTAATGCTGATGCCATTTTCACCTCTGTCGCCTTAGTCATCTACCACAACTCGGGGTAGCTGCGAAGACTCTTAGTCAGTTTACGCATAGACTGTTTTCGGGCTTCATGGTACCAAATACTCTGAAATTATCCTTCTATATGGATAAGTTCACGTAAGGTTAGCAGAAATCCCCAAGATTTCGCTAACTTTCGCATGTGAGCCATTAACCCTCTACAACAGATACAACATAGCATCAAGATTCGTCAGCACAAGAATTACTGCCACAATCAAACAAATGCTTAGCGACTTTCTCTCCAACAACAAACTCCAATTTCTCGTCTTCCAAACAGGAACACAGAGGTCTGATTGCTATTTGTTACCCATACACATTAAAGCGAAAACATACAAGTGTCCATTCAATAGCTGATAACTTGACGTACCGGTTGGGGATTCATTTTACAATCACCCAGCGAGTTACACTAGCTCAAACGCTTGTTCCCTTGGAGTTCTACTATCCTAGAAAGGTGAGCGGATCAGTGATACGACGAAAAGGAGTTACTGTTACAGTTACAATTTTGATGGAGGTCTGTGGGCGAAGTGGTACTGCTGGCTGGATGGGGGTGTACCAGCAATAGGATGCTTCACTTGGATGACCAGCAGTCTCACGCTGATGCTGTCTCCCGGACAAGAAAGGCGGAGATTAGAAACGTTTGGCCTGTAAAATAACACAATCTACCCAGCCCCGCGGTCTCACAGTGTCGGTGATATGGGCTCTCTCCTCGACATAAACACGAACAGACCTCAAAACAACTCGCAAAACGCCGCCTGTGACAGGCTTCAAAAAGACGTCCCCGGGCCTCTGAGGTCACACAAATCGTTTCATATTTCAGGTACCTTTAGAAGAAATAGCCTTCCACAGCGTAGGCAGTCGGTAAGTGTTAACTGCTAGCACGATCCCAGTAGTACACTAGATCCAATCAAACAACCTATCCTCAACTCTATCTCATTCCTTCTCTTCACCTCCTGATACTAATAATAAGCACCTTACACCCCCAAACTCTCACTCTGCAACCAATGACAACGATCAAAGCTATGAAAACCTCATTCCGAGTCTCCTGAAACCACGCCATCAATTTCATGAGGGAGCTTTCAACATCTGAACTCTATACCAAATCAGACAGCAAGCATCGATCGGTAAAAACTCTAGCCTTGGATATCGGCTGTTTTTGAGACATGTATTCAGACAGGACCCGAGTGTGGTTAGTAAATTGACCTCACCTGGCCATAGTAGTGAATCTTCAAAGTTCACCTTGCGAGTATACGAAGACGCGATGATCAGTTCTCGTGAACTCGTTGATGTAGGTATAGCATCCAGTCGTAAAGCAGAAAGTTCGCTCCTTGATGGGTTTCTAGTAAACAGCAGTTCATGTGGTGTTCGAATGAATGGATCTATAAGAACTAGGGAGGATTGTGAAACTAGGTGATGCTTATTCGTAAACTCCGCCTACACACCCACCGACTGTAGTTCGGATGATGCCAAGGCTCCATTCTATAACAAGCTCTGAATTTCGCTACAGAAATGAAAATGTTTAGATGTGGTCTTAATGACAGGTGACGTTAACGCTCAAGTAGGAAAGATAAGCCAGTCGGAAAGGCAACTTGGAGTAGAAACAGGAACACATGCCAACCGACAGCGGTAATCGTCTGTTGAGAATTTTCCTGATAATCACTTATTTCTGGCCAGCGTTAATCTGATCGTAACAGCATAGCTCATCCAGAGGAAATCTGGAGCGTTATAAGGTCGACTGTAGAAACAGCGGTACAGATTAGCGAACGTTAGTGGATTTCTGCTAAGTCACCTCAACTGATTGAGGTGACGACTAATTTCTTGTGGCCCTGATCGCAATGAAGTGTGGAATCAGCTGAAAAGTAAATTGACTCAGGGAATCTCAATAATCACGAGTGGTGGGTGGTCCAAGACGCAATAGGTCACACGGTAAAATGGCCGATAGGATTTGATCAGCACACGGCAGTAGACGACATGAAATTGGTGCTACCGCCTGACTAAACATTTTTGTGCATAAAATACCGCAACAATACCTTAATATGGTGTTGTAGCAGTGACGAAGCAGAGCAGAAACATCTCTCATTTTCTTATGATATTAGAAAATATGTGCAGCGTTAACTAAAATACAAGAATTCCCTACCTTTTCACAGAGAAAAATTTTCCGGTTTTGTTTCAATCTTTGCTAAAGTGTCATCACTAAATCGTGTATTTTACTAACCCAATGAGAAAAATGTCAGACATACAGGTGTATAAGTGTTCAATATAAAGTTTAACACATCATATTGCTAGTTATATAAGATAACAAGACATTATTTTACATCACAAATCCACTCACTATTAATCTCGTCTACAGTGAGAAAGATTAAGGCTACTAAGCGAAGAGAAATCAGGTGTCAGAAATTCGTAGCTGTAAATTGTGGTTATGCTGAACGCAACACACTACTTTTACCTAAGCAGTGTTCTCTACATTTTATGTACTGCCTTGTTTGGACTTCTTTCCAGCTTTGTGAATATCCAAACTAATGCTGGAGGTAGATTACGAAACAAATTTTATGAAACAAATCATTTCTTCCGATAAAAGAATACAATAAAAAACTAGTCTGAAAGTTGAAAACCATTTTAATTTAGATTAATCATTATCAAATTTGAAGGATTTAGAAACTTTGGGTCCACTGAATGAACCACTATTATAACCACGTTTATATGATTGTCTAGAGTTTGAGAAGAACCGACCTTGCCAAGCTCCCCGATTACCTGAGCGACCTTGATTGGAAAATGAGTCGAATTCTTCAGCTTCCAATTCCGGGATTTCAGTGAGCAGAGAAAGTTTGGCTCGACCATTATCTGGCCATATTGACTTCACGAACTCATCATGTTCCGATGGTAAATCGAAAACATATCCCTTGAAAAAATTCAAAAAAAAAACAAATCTTTTCAAACTGAGACAAAGTATAAAGCTACTACCTGGTAATATCTTCAACTGCTTGAATTCCAATGCAACCAAGAAGTTGGAAGTGGTTATATGGGGGAAATGAGATAAACAATGGACGGTCGACTGGGACAACACGAAAAGCGGAAACATGAAATGATTTGACTAGTCCTCACAAGGAAAGACCGATAAAAACAATCTAGGTCCGCATTTCCATACCTCATTTCAAAACATCAAGTAACACAGTAATAAGATAACATGCATACAGAAAGAAAACTTCAATGGAAAGTGCTAGAAAGTTGATGGAGAAAAAAAGAAGAATGGAGAATACCGAAATTCAGTAAGACGATTAAAATGAAGATAATGTATCGATACATTTGCTCCACTTTGCTCTCTGCCAATTCACCTCAAGTCTCTAATCAATCGTTTCCGCTGTTACAACGACTCCAACTAGGAAGTCTACGTTTCACTACAGGGCAAAAACCAACTATTAAAGACTTCATATACTGATACCATGTTTCATTCCGGTCACCTATAATCATCTCTCAGTCTCGACCAAATTCAGTTACACGAGCCCAATACGTATCCCAAACAACTCAGTTGACAAAGGTTTACAACACTGTCAATCGTTCTTGGTTTTTTACCAAGAACTCAACAACTGAATTCGATGACATTGACGAGATGAAACCATGAAGCATGAATAAAGTTACGAAATCAATTCATCTAAAAGATGAAGCTTACTGATGGCTTCCATCATTATTGACAACTTTTCAGCCGAATACTCCAAAGCAAAATCTAGCGCAGCGCGTGAAATGGCTATCTATTTCCTACCAACGCTGCCTCTTTTATCTCTTTAAACTTCGATGACCACCACTGTTCGCGGTCATTACGTAGGCTCTTTGTCAGTCTACGTTTAAGTTGCATTCGCTCCTCATCGTACTTGCAACTTGCAGGGACGCATCCTAGTGCATCTATGAATTCAGATATCTACATGCCCTTTCCAACCACTCTCCGAGTCAGTGATGGTCCTCGACGTCGTTTTTACAGACTGCAGATGGCGACAAGTTTCTTCCGGACGGGTCATACTGTTTCGTTTCAATAACTGTCGGGTCAGTTTCTCAATGAAAGTGGCTTCAGTGCTCTTATTGTCGAGGTGCACTCACAATGGTTTTGTTGCCGAAATCTCCCGACGTCATTGAGACGCAAACATACACACACTCGAACCAACACGCGGTCACTGTCCAAACACGTGTTCCAGAAGGAGCTACAGTATTCCACCGCCCTCCCCCCCCTCAGGGATGAATGGCAACCATGTAACCTATCTGTGTCCACCGCTGAGTTGAACTCGGTAGACAATTTCGTCATCTATTTCTGAAGTTTGTTTGCTAGAAATAAATGGTTATCTGATTACAGCTATGGCAGGCGGTCGTCGTTATCTGTTCGTTTAGCTAGGATTCTAGTGCCACCCAAGTGCCCTTTCGCTTGACTTAGGCTTGCCTGCTTGCACACTGAAAACGTCTCCAACAACTATCACCCCAGAACTCTTCGCTTTCAATGCGAGGCTAGACAGTTTTCTGTAGTACTCATCCTTCACTCCGTTCTAATTGCAGTCAGTGAGTGAGTGAGCAGAGATTAATAAGAAACAACAATGAATTCTACATTTCTTGTTAGTCCTCACTGTGCCGTTCAGTCGAACAGTGGTCACACAAAGCAATCTTAGGAGTCTGACATTCAAGTTTTTTCGTTTCAACTCCGACTATGAACTTATATCGACGGCGCCGGTAGGCTACGGGTTGGAACGAGGTGTGCTATTTTTAGGGTTATCATTTTTTGTCTCTTAGGAAAGGCAGCATCAGCATGACACTTCTGATCATCTGCTGGAAACAATTTACTGCTGTTACAACCCCACTAAACCAGCAGTACAACTTCGCCCATGGAACATCATCACTCACAATGTAAGAGTAACTACTTTTTGTTCGACTATGTTATAATAGGACTACAGGGAAACAAGCTTATCATTGGTATAGCTAGTCGGGTCATTGAAATTCACAAACTCGACCACCACATCAAGGTAGTAGATTACGGTTTGGTCACAATCTATTTTTTGACCAGCACTATCCAGCTTTTTTTATTTTTTGTGACATCAAGCGGTGAAATGCTAGTAGTAGATTCGTCTTTGAATAGGTTTTGGGAACACTTCTGCTATAACTCATTTCACATGTTTCCGCTTCGTTTCGTTATAAATCATTTTAGCGTCACTACTTTGCATGGTGCATTTCTCGCACTAATGTTTTACTTTGCTGTAATATATGCATTTCAAATAGAAAACTCCGATTGCGCACTGAGCGTCCAACACTAAGTATCACAAATGAGGTTGATTTAAAATGTATTGGACATGAGATATAGGATTATGGTGATATACTGTATTAAAATACCTCAGATTACTGTTGGTAAAACGGTCACTAACACTAAAAAGTCTCCGTACTAACTATAGATCGAATGATGAAGCAACTCTATAGTCGAATGGGTGAAACGTATGGAGACAACTCACACTTCAATGTAGCCCGTATATAAGTGGCTCATAGGCGCAAGCTATGGGAAGCTCCTTGAGTACCCTTTCAGCAAATATTTGTATGTCATATGTTGAACGTTATCTGAGCACTTGATTGAAAATTTTCCATTTTATAAAAGACATACGATATCTCAATCATAAGTGATGATCCAAGTAGTGCTACTTCACTTCTGAATCGAATGAACATAGTACAGAAGGGCATATCTCTAACAAATGTAGAAGAGAATGATAATTGCCTATCTTTCTTAGATGTATTGATTAGTCAATAGCAAGATGGATCAATGAAACGATCTGTTTACAGAAAGCCTACTTGGATAGGGCAATATTTAAATTATTACAGTTTTTGCCCGCTGCAATACAAACGAGGATTAATTAAATACTTATTTAATCGAATTCAACAAACATGCTCAGCTGATACGTTGGAAGATGAGACAAGATTACTGACGGAGACACTAATTGAGAACAACTACCCAACAAAGTTTATTACTCGTCATAAAGTGGACCGAACATTGAAAAATACTGTCACCTCTATCCCTAAGAAAGATGTTTTCATCAAGCTATCATACGTTGGCGATGCAAGTAGCTTGACAGTCAGACATAAAGAAAACATCATGCAGCTAAGGTTCATATAACTGAAAATTCGAAACCTATATACCAATCAAAGCCCTTGGAACAGATCAAAGATGAAGCCATATCCCACTGAATTTGCTATTTTAAATGTATATGTGGTCACATGTATATATGGAGGACTCATCGGCCACTGAAAATAAGGGCCATAGCACATTCCAAATTGGTTTCAGAAACAAATAGTCACCTGACCCAAATGATGCTATAAACAAAAATCCGAGCTCCTCAATAGTTAAACATATTATTGAAACGCGGCATAAAGCGGATGTACAAACGTTATTTACACCCATATATAAGACTTACTGGGGACGTATTTCAAGTTTGTTAGGGCACTAACCACTAGGAGGTTTAAGCCACCTTCATGCGTTCACAAACAATTTGTTATTACACTAAACCTACAATGTTTATCTTGAAATTTAGTCATAAGATTTACAGGTTTTCGATATTTTTGTTCTCCTTTTTTCAACTATAAAAATCTGATTTCTGTGAAGAAACTTAAAATAAGACAGTTAAATTGGATGACAAAGTACTAAAAAACCACCAGAATACAGATGGCTTCATGCGGAACTTCAATAGAACTGCTGAGTGGATTTTTTCACAAGTCTATACTTTCAGCACTACATTTTAAACCCAATATCAGTTTCACATATTTTGCGATTTTGAAAAATTCTTGGCACATACATAAACCTGAAAAATAGACATTTTCAGTGTCGTCGATAAGCTTCTCAAACTGGAAATACCAAGTAGCAATCTATGTTTACCGTTAGTAAAACTCATTATCATCTTTAAGTTTCAGTAAGAAGCACGACACAAATAGTAAGAAGTTTACAAGTATTGACATACCTTCTTTCCAAGAATGAAGCTTAAACTTTGAACACTTTCGACGATATTATCTGGTAAATGATTTCGCAGAGTCGTAAAGGCCAATCCTTTGTTTCTGGCGCTGAATTCGAGTTCCAGCTTGTAGGCTGTTCGACCAATCTGAGCTGTGAGAACTGACCGCTTTTCAATCATACCTTCTTTGCCGCTAAGACATGCCAAAGCACAGCAAAGAGCACGAAGCAAATCTTTGCATTTCGGTTTGCGATCAGATACACTGATATCACAAGGTGAAGAGTCGTCATTAGAATCCGTTTTCAGCTTTTTCCTTTTTGACTCCTGAGCTAATCGATCAGAAATTGAAAGGGCTAATGGTATGAATGTCGACCAAGTGTTTTTTGATACAGCAGAAAATGTCCTGCAAAAAGGATAGGATTTATCGAAATATCGAAATTAAAGATGAATAAACAAACAAACCTGAATTTAAGGATGTGTAGAGAAGTACGTTGAGGGATACAAATGACGAAATATAACAACTTACAGGGGAACACCAAATAAAAACAAATAATGACAACCTTAGGCTGTTTGATTTTCAAGTTTCCAGTCAGCCTTCATCGAAACACAGTTGTCTACGACATCAAAGCTTTAATTAAACAGGCAAGTAAAGCTAACTGAACTCCTAGCGTGAAAATCATCCTGACTGGCAACTAAACAGCTATATCTACGTAGTAAAATAAGGTAAAAACACAATAACCGAAACAGTTAACTGAGAATGCTGTTAGGCAACCGGATTGAGTAGCTGAACATTTGTGGGTATATCATCTACCTGTGTCACTGAGTTTTTTTCTACAACTCCCATGTACAAACCATTAGATTTATTTTAACCTGAATAACGAATTTTTAGATTTACAACACATGACAATTTCATATTATAAAGGCCTAAAAATGATCTGGCTAGAAAAATGCAAATCTGAAAACGTTATTCGTAACCTGACCAAGAGCACATGTCTCTTGAGCAATGTGATGCAGTTTCTCTTTCAAACAGTGATTTCAGAAATACAGGTACGTTCCATACCTAGTCGTGGTCGCACCAACCACATCTTCACTTACAGTCAGGTTTTGTGGCAGTGTCTTCCATTGGGATGACTGCCAGCTAGGCACATCACCCAGGTGAACCATATTCAAACACGTATGAGCGTGTCAGAGCAAATGGAGTAGTATTAAGTGAATTTTAAGGGTCTAGTTGTGCATTTTGAGGATGCCCTTAAGCTCAATTCTTAATTAAATTGGTTGTTAGTGTGCTTATGGAGGTCTCTCTCCCCTCTCATCTTTTACAAGGATTGATCTCGTCTTACCATACTACCTAGTAGTTTACACGCTATATACTAAAAATCTAGCTAGCGAATTCATCGCTAAAATTCCTATTTACAAGAGTTATGTCGACAACGCCATAGTGATTCATGCAAGGCATGACAATTTGATCTGTCCACGTAAAAGACTAACAACGGTACAAGATCATATCAACCTGACTTGTGAGGAACTCGGCCTGGTTAACTAGTTTACTAGTTACTAGCCGGTTCTAAGCCTGGATAAAGAGGAGAGTTGGGCATAGGGTTAGCAACCCTACCCCGGAAAACAATCCAACCGCTACAAAAACTTCGAAGCATAAAAAAATATATAACATAAAAAACAAACTTATTCTTCGCCGGAATTGATGAGACGAAATGACGCCGGCTGGTGAAACACTCCGGAAAGCCAGTAAGCTCATGTGCCTTCTCTCAATGAAAGCGAAAGTAAGGATTGGGACATGGATCTTCCGCACCATGTATGAACCTACTAAGGCTGCCGAGATTGCGAAAAAGATGAGAAAATATGGAATACAAGTGCTAGGAATCTGCGAAAGCAGATGGAATCGAAGTGGACTCCCCAAACCCTTAATCCACCCCGGTCACCCAGACGACAACCAAGAGCACACTCCGCTATGGAGTGGCTACCATGATCTCCCAAGAGAATTAAAGTATCTGTCTCATGTAATGGGAACCAAACGCCCCCAGAATCCTGATAGCAAGATTCAACTCAAAAGGAAGGAAACTCACAATCATACAATGCTATGCTACGCGCCGACAAATAATGCAGATCAAGGGAAGAGGGAGGGGTTCTATAAACACCTGCAATCAGTACTGGACAAGACCATACCCCAGTTGGCAACATCAAAATTCTAAAAAGAAACATGAATGTCAAACTGGAAGCAGACAACACAGGAAGAGAACTAACTGATCATGGATCTAGAAGCACTCGGTGAAATGATCGAGAATGGAGAATTGTTTGCAGACTTCTAAGCATTCAACGATTTGGTGATTGGAGTCAGACAGTGTGTACAAACACAAGGATATCCACAAAGCGACATGGATTTGATTTCATCAGACACCAGGAAACACTAAAAATCAGATCGACTTATCTCAATATCAAGAAAGTGGAGACGCAGCCCACTTGACGAAAGGTCAAGAACGGGAGCAGATGTAGGTGATTCACACCACTCACTATCTAGTGCAAGGAACCTTCAAAATCAAGTTGAAAGCCTCCATAGATGTTGGTGATAGACCACAGTTCAAGTTTAACATTCACAAACTGAAGGACAAAACTACAAAGGACATCTTCACGTCAGTCAGTCATCAGAAAAAAATGGAAGACATTAAGCAACATATCCGAGGAAACCTGCATGGAAGAACATTGGAACTCTGTGAAAGCGACGTTAAAGGAAACCTGCATAACCGTGCTAAGAAGCGAGACAAAGAATGAACCTCGACGCACACGTGGAAGCTGAAGCAGCAGGGAGAAGGTGGTGAAGCAGACGAACCACTGCAAGGATGCACAACAAAAAGAACAACTTAATACAACGTATAAAATACTGGACAAAGAGGTGAAGAGTGGAAGACAAAAGACACTTCTACGACACACTGGCAAGTGAAGCAGAACAGGCTGCTGGTGGGAGAGACCTGACAACATTGTATCAAACAACCAGGTCACTATCTTAGAAGAGATCAATACAGATGAAACCAATAAAAGATGATGAAGGAAACTTAGTTACCAAAAAGGAGAAACAAAGGAAACAATGGGCTGACCACTTCAAGAAGCTCTTGAATCGACCATCACCACCACCACCTGCAGCTCGTCCAGGAATACCACCAGCAACGGCAGAACTACCAGTGAACACAGGCCCTCCGACAAAAGCCGAAGTGATGTCCTGAACGCCACAAAGCTGCTGAAATCCGGAAAACAACAGGACCACATGGAATTCCTCCAAAAGTACTGAAAACAGACGCAAAGACAACAGCGGACATGCTTACACAACTATTGTAGATGGTTTGGGAAGAAGGAAGGAAGGAAAGGTACCTGCCTTTCGACTGGAAGAGGGCCTACCTCTTCAAACTTCCAAAGAAAGGAGACCTAAGTCTTCATAAGAACCGGCGTGGAATCATGCTCCTGTCCACCCCAAGCAAATTATCATGCCGCATCATCCTGGAGGGACTAAAAGATGCGCTGGGTTCAAAACTACGACCGGAACGGGATGGCTGGCTGGCTTCAGGAAGAACAAATCATGTGCGGATGAAATTGCAACACTACGCCACGCATCCCCACAGAACAGAGCATAGAATGCCGGTCAACTCTCTACCTCAACTTCATCGACTTTTAGAAAGGTCCTCCACAGCGTCAACCGAGAAGTAATTTGGCAGGCAGCTGCTTCAACACTACGGCTTCAGTGTCACAAACCTTCATCAACCTCATTCAACAGCTATAATACCGACGCTTCTTGTCGAGTGATTCACAATGGAAAGCTCAGTGATGCGTTTGAAATGAAGACAGGAGTAAGACGAGATTGTCGCCTACTATAATCAACAATCATCCTCCTGACTGTGGTCGACTGGACTGGATCATGCAACAGACAACTGTGAGGAGCTGTGAGAAGAGGGGCATACGCTGACTGGACCGATGAAAAGAGCCTGGAAGATTCGAATTTCACCGCAGATGATGATGATGATTTATGTCTAATGTCTTGTCGCACAAACTCGAAGATCTACGGATCTCGAAAACTAACAAGTTGTCAGAAGAGGCGAGGCAGGGCAGCGACTATGAGACTTTCTTCAGGTGAAGGTAGAGAAGACAGGTGATGAAGATACCCATCCAACAACAGCATCAACAACAACGACAAGAAGCGCCAATCACCATGAACGGGAGAAACCTGAATGGAGAAGTCTCTTTCACCTACCTAGGCGGTACCGCCTCAACTACAGGTGACACAGATGAGGATATCAAAACCAGGATCGGAAAGATAACAAGACAACTCTTCATTAATCTGAAATCAGCGTGCAGATCTACTCCACTCACCACAAAGAACAAGAACCGGATTTTCAACACTAATTCAATCAAGTAGGCTCTTCTATATGGTTCAGAAACTTGGCGCGTTACGAAAAGCACTTCCAATAAACAACAGACATTTATCAGCAGCTGCCACCTACGCTCACTCGATACTGAAGATCAGATGGCCAGAAAGAATAAGCAACAAGGAACTCTGACTGTTAACGAACCAACTAAGAACCTATTACCTAACAAATATGCAGAAGAAAGTGGAGATAGACTGGGCATACACTGAGAAGGCGAACTGGGGACATCACGCGTCAGGCCAGACCCTCGAGTGGATGAAATGAAAGCTCGTAGGCAGTCGTGGCGCTGGGTTGAGAAGACTGCAGAGAAGAGAGTGCAATGGAGGCGTGCTACTGAAGCCCCATGTTCCACTTGGAACCCAATGTAAAATAAATAAATAATGACTTGTGATAAAGAGAATAATAAACCTTCTGCCACTTTTAGACGCACTACTAAGTCAACGAGATGGTGGTTCGATTAAATCCCTGGTCTACTGAAGTTTACATCAACAAGACAAAAAAATTTAACAGCTTTTACCCGATTCCATACAAGTAAGGTCTAATAAAATCCGTTTAATAAGGTCTTTTCTATACATAAGATACGATGGATGAAAATATGAAATTATTGACCAAAACACACAGAAAGCGAATTTCCGTTTGAGTCAGGTAACACCAAAGCCAACTCCAGACACGATTCCTAGGAAAACTTCCCATGATCACTCTACCATACAGAGGGGAGTTGAACAGTATAGTTTTGAGATGTAGGCTGAGGACAGATGTTAGGAAAACATGCAACTAAGCCTATAAATAAGGAACAGGCAAAACACATGCTTCACCATGAACCTAAACACTATATGAATGATTAAACCACGTCTCATTGTGTTCATCAGTTTACAAGTGTGTGTGTTTATATACCAGGCACTCAGTGGGAGCAGTAATCGACCCATCTAGTTGAAGGTAGGAGAATATGCACCTAAATGGATTCAAAAACAAATGAAGTGCGCAACTTCAACAAGAGCAGGTCAGAGACAACCCTCTTCACCGTTAGCTAAACGTACTGTAGAAAGAGACCACGAAATTTATGTTCAAAAAGTTTTCGAAGCTTTATTCAAACAGTAAGGGAATATGAAGAACCAATACCCGCATGCAAACTGAAACTACCTTCGAGTTCAAAAAAAAATTTGTTCTTCGAATACACCTACCTCCGTAAACTTTGTTTCCTTACCAAGATTAGGATCAACTAGGTCACTCTTCCTTCATGTCCTCATCTTTCTTTACTTTAATCCCCTAATTGTTAGATTTCTCCTTCCATTCTTCAGTTTTACACAGACTGACTTGACAAATAAGTGTGTCATCAAATTGTTCGAAGTGGATTGCACGAATACACCACAGCGCTCAGATAAATTTCGCCTTCTAATTACATCATCTCAATGTCAGAAAGCTATGAGAGTGCATCTAAATTCGAGTTGAAAAAAATAATTCTACTTTGCAAAACTTCAGCAGTAACCCCTCATGTAACATGAAATAATGGACTCACTAGTGTCCCAAAAAATCTAGATTAGATAACCATAGGAGTTAGCGCCTTGTTTACAGAATAATTATAAAAACGTCAGTAAATTCACACAACTCAGAGACGAATTTCAAAGAGAAATTCATTCTACTCACAAGTAGTATAAGTCTACCGAACAAAATATCTAACAGATAAGTTTACAGTCAATAACCAAAAACCAAACAAACACTATGCTCCACTAACAACGACGTATAGTCGACTAATTACAAAGCACATTTCAAAACTTAACCTATGGCGATTACGCAAAGGCAGTCGAAAAACAACTGATCAAAAAGGCAAACGATAGCTAACCACAATGTAACAGTGGGAATAAAACAAACACAAGGCTGAACTTTCTAGGTCAAACAATTATTACGATAACTTGCTTTATAGTTCTCTCCTCCTTAATTTGGAACATGAAAGTGTTGCATTCTCAGAAAAGCCTCAAAACCTCAATACATCCTGATACTTTGACGTTATTCAACCTAATTAATAGACACACTAGAATGAAGACAATTCTCTTGAAGTTGATAATTACACTATTCCATTCGTGTAAAAGTAAAAACCACGAATTATTTAACTTTAATCCTGCTCTTTTTTTATCAAAAACGTGCCCCCGGCCAATGGTCAAAAGATTTTTCGTAGAGAAGTTCTGAATAATTCTCCATGTGATGATTAGCAGAAGGGCATCCAAATCATCTTGTATTCAGAGACGAAAAGTAAGACCTACAACCTTTAAACTTCAAAATTCCAGTCACAGGTGTGCAAGTATGTAGACAAAAGAAGCACCAAGTCAACGTCCAGTAGACTCGTTTCACAACACTGTTACTTGGCAACAAATTTGACGGAATTTCCTGACTAAGGTTCAGTATTATTTTGGCTAGAAGACTGCTAATTCTTACCTGATTACATACGGTTTTTCAACGCCAGATGAACAGTGGTATATCAAGTTATGCCTCACATGTGTTTCATATGTAAGGGACAATATCCAGCTTCATGTCTGGAAGTCTTACACTTTACGAGATTGATTTTTCTTAGGTTTTTCGTATCATATGTGTGGTCTGACGGCCTGACGGCTGTTACCTCTCCATCGACGGACTTGAACAACCCCTACATGTCGTGAATACCTAGTTAATACACTCACGGCCAGGTTTGAAGCCAATTGGGTTTTTCGGTTGCTGTTTCCGAGATCCAGGAAGACTTGAAGTCACAAAACACTCTAGGATTTCGAACTTTTTTCGTCAGGCTGATTCCTCTGCAGTTATCCAAGGAGTGCTGCTGTCCATTCTACGAGACTGGAGCAAGCAGTGTGTGAAACCAGTCAGAATAGGTCTCATCTGATTCACATACTAGTAACCACTTTAGTTACCTTGACTTAGAGCACTATACCACCATCCTCAAATACCCATGGTAGTCTGTCTGATCCTGCTGATTTTGCTCGTTTCGGGCTGCCTAGTTTTCTCGACTTCTGCGTGTCGGGGGTCTTTCCTCGATGTTTCATCCAGGCTACGACTGGATAGCAAGTAACGGAATATTAGCTGGAAGGCAGTCAACCTGTTTCTAGAAATTTTCCCACTCTCTTCAACACTCCAGGCACCCGTAGGCTACGGGTTGGAACGAGGTGTGCTATTTTTAGGGTTATCATTTTTTGTCTCTTAGGAAAGGCAGCATCAGCATGACACTTCTGATCATCTGCTGGAAACAATTTACTGCTGTTACAACCCCACTAAACCAGCAGTACAACTTCGCCCATGGAACATCATCACTCACAATGTAAGAGTAACTACTTTTTGTTCGACTATGTTATAATAGGACTACAGGGAAACAAGCTTATCATTGGTATAGCTAGTCGGGTCATTGAAATTCACAAACTCGACCACCACATCAAGGTAGTAGATTACGGTTTGGTCACAATCTATTTTTTGACCAGCACTATCCAGCTTTTTTTATTTTTTGTGACATCAAGCGGTGAAATGCTAGTAGTAGATTCGTCTTTGAATAGGTTTTGGGAACACTTCTGCTATAACTCATTTCACATGTTTCCGCTTCGTTTCGTTATAAATCATTTTAGCGTCACTACTTTGCATGGTGCATTTCTCGCACTAATGTTTTACTTTGCTGTAATATATGCATTTCAAATAGAAAACTCCGATTGCGCACTGAGCGTCCAACACTAAGTATCACAAATGAGGTTGATTTAAAATGTATTGGACATGAGATATAGGATTATGGTGATATACTGTATTAAAATACCTCAGATTACTGTTGGTAAAACGGTCACTAACACTAAAAAGTCTCCGTACTAACTATAGATCGAATGATGAAGCAACTCTATAGTCGAATGGGTGAAACGTATGGAGACAACTCACACTTCAATGTAGCCCGTATATAAGTGGCTCATAGGCGCAAGCACTACTTTCAAATAATGGGTTCGAAGTATCAAATCTGACTTTTTCTTCGGCTTGGGCGGCATAGTATCACAAGCATTTACACAATGTGTATTTTATAACGCAGCGCACAAATCTGTACTGTAATGACACATTGCATCAATTTGTAATCACGGATGCCAGCTTGTGGCACGTTCGAAAGTCGAACACAAGTCAGTGAACTACAGACAGATGTTTGCATTGTAAATATAAAGCATACATTGGGACTACTCAGATATGGTGTCTACAATGTTTGGGAATGAGTGATACTTCAAAAGGATTATTTTTATGATGTGCCTCTAACAAACAAAAGATATTATGATCACAAATGTCAAGTGGCAGATCAAAATGACTATACTGCTCACTTGAATATTCCTTCCCCCCATGCAGTAGCAATATCATTGATAGTAGGGGCAGAAATCCGACGAAATGTTATCCCTGCCAAAGATTCAATTCTGGATAGCATACCACGCTCTTTGTGTGTGAAGAAACATATGGAAGTTCCACAGCGATCGGCTCGACCAGTGCGACCTGAGCGGTGGATATAGTCTTCAATATCTCGTGGGGGTGGCACTGTATCACCAAATCTACGCTGGGCACATCTAGTCCACGGGCAGAAACATTAGTTGTGAGCAGAGTACGATATTTTCCTTCCCGAAATTTCTGAAATAAAATTCAAGATATACTATGACATCTTGGTGAAGAGTAGATTGAGGGAGTCATGCCAAACGCAAAAGAATATGAAGTTTGTGGAAATATGGAGAAGGAACCTACAAGTAGCATAGAAGAACGGGTAATTATGAATTTAGTTACAGAACTAGATAATAATGTTAGTTTTATGTTAAACCTATCCCACTTTTACAGACAGTTATAAAATGCATCTTAAACAGGAATCTATACTCTCAGTGCGAACATATGAGGTTGTTAAGGTCACCTTTTGAACGACTGAGCTCATTAGCACGTTCTTCTTGAAAACCACTCAATATTTAGCCCAGACTAGGTAATCTCTAATGTCCTATTTTCGTTAACAGCCTCCCTGTGCCACTCAATAATGAAATATTGAACTCTTTGAAGGCCAAAATCAACAAATCATTTAATTTATGGGTACTTTAAAGACATAAGAATCTGGCTGACATATTCCAGCCATCCGACAGACATTTTATATACCGGCTAATAAAATCAAAATGAGTTTGTTCCCAAATAATTGTAAAGTGATTTAAGCACTGAAATATTCAAACACTAAACAGACATATGGTTATCACTGTACTATTGTACGCTTTTAAATTACAAACCAGCAACATCTATATAATCTATGACAGTGGATTGATTCCGCTACTATGTGGTATCTGAGTTAACAATGTCTTACCTGAAGAACCAACTCTCTTTTGTCTTGCGGAACGTCACCATGTAACACATGACAATCTGGTGGCATTGCATCGTTTACAGCCAGCTCGTCCGCGTCCTTTTTGCGTTCACAAAACACAATGCACCGAGAATCACGGCTCTTGCAGTAAACCTTTATAACGTCAGAGAGGGTAGATGCACGGCTGTCATAAGGACAAAGAAGAGCTAAATGCTAAAAGAAAGCATTAAAAGGAGAATTAGTACCGTAACACTTGTAGATGTCCTTGTTTCTTGCTCATCTATCAGAGAGAGCACCAAGGCATCATTCGACAAATAGTTTTTGGATATTTCTGACACCCAAGATGGCATAGTGGCTGAGAACAAGAGTGTTTGGGGCTTCTCTGCAGCAGTATCACTTTTGTATATGCCAGCCAGAATCTTCTCAACGTCTTTGCTAAAACCCATGTCCAACATACGGTCCACTTCATCCAAGACAACATGCTGCACAAATGACAGTTTCAAAACCTTTTTCTCGATGAGATCCATAACTCGACCAGGTGCACCAACAACAATGTGACAACCAGACCGAAGTGCATCACCTGTTGATCGACATTAAACAAAATACGACTTACATTGGGTCTTATATGGTACACCTCCATATACCGAAATAACTTTAATCCCCTTAACACAAATTGACTGAAAATCAGCGGCGATTTGAGTAACCAACTCTCGAGTGGGTGCCAGTACAATTACAAGTGGACTACATGGAAGATTACCTTGTCTTCTGATGAGTGCGTTAACCAACGGCAGGGAGAATGCTAGAGTTTTGCCTGTGCCAGTTCCTAAAACGTGACTTGAATAACCTCAACCTACTCGCTAAAACAACTGCATCTCTCCCAGAGGATATAGCATCATAGGTCTTAAACTGTACTGGAAACAGTTCAGTGATATTTCTTGAAAGCAGTTTCTCGATAACTGCATCGGATATACTAAAGTTTGAAAAATCCCCAGCAGGCACATTACAAACAACCATGACATGCGTGTTTTTGAATTGCGGTGTTGTTGTGACCTTTAGCTTCAATATCGACACATTTTCATTGTGTATAAGAAACTGACAGTTTTTGAACTCCTTTCCTTTGTTTATTTTTCGAGAATGTGACAGTTTGTAGGATTTTTCCTGTTCATGGACTGAGTATGTAAACGAACTAAAGAGGTTTGGAAGAATGGTGGTCCATTTGCAATTTCTGCATGTGTTAAGGCCTAAACTTCTACAATTTACGATAAGTCAGGTAGTAGAGTATGAGAGAATATGTAAAAACATGATATGAAAGATAAATATGCATATGGTGATATTCAGTGTCTATGGAATTTCAAGATTAGTAAGGCGGTGAGGTGGTAGGTTATTGAGTCCAAAGGCTCACTTCATTGGTTAGACGTAGACCATCTGTGCTAAAATGTCGATCCAACATGCCTTCGAATGGCCTTCCTGCGGGACTCACTGTTATTTCCTGTGATATGGTTTCCGTAGTGCGCATGCGCTGAAAGTAGAGAAGCTGACATGATGCTCGTCATAGTTATTTGATGGGCTGCTTTTGCTGTGTTCCCACAGGACTCTCTGTTTTGAGTTGGTAGCAAGTATTTCTTACTGCGATTTACCCGTTGAACAATCTTAAGCGCCATGACTGGGTGGCCTTGTTCCCTGCAGCAGTTAAGGCTGAGTTAGGCGAGCTGTGGAATTCCTTGGAATAAGGTCTACCTTTTAGACCCACGACACATTTCCTTGCTCTTCTCTGTATTTTTACCAGAAGCTCCAAGTTATGCTTGAGAGGCAGTGGGGTACTGCGTTAAAAACCTCGAGTTACAGTCCGACGAAGGTTTCAAGTAACGCAAGTAAGAGTTCGGGAGTGATGGCTCCAAGATTTCTGCAAATGAAGTGTGTAACAGAGTTTACCTTGCAAACACTTCCGCGCAGTTTACGTTGGTGTCCGAAGTGACACAAAAACTGAGGCCAGTTGCGTATGTAGCTCGCTCTTTGCACCTGTCCATATTAAAGCATGACCGCTTTTTGTGGATCGAAATCATAGCCGTGGTGGGTCATTTTGGGGCTGTTCTGAGTGAATACAATGGTCCGTTACTCTTCATATTCTGATGTCATCTGAGAAAAGTAGGATATGGGGATCCCTAAATTTTCCATATCGGGATCGTTCATGATGTGGTCACGCAAGTGATTCTGGAAAGGAATACTCCAGAGGTCGCTGAGATTCAGAATTGATGCTGACCCTCACAATTTTTGCAAAGCAGTAACCACAAATATTGTGGGACGGATTGAATTCATTTCCTATTCTCTAAATCTTCCACACATGCACTAAAATTAAAACTGTGCACGGTAAGCTATCAGTGTCCAGCATGAGCCATCTCATGCATTTTAATATTGAGGCCAAAATCAATTTAATCTTTCATGCCTAAGCATATGCGGGAACAGAGATGAATGGGGAAGTTCAGGACCTGGTCGACCAATAAAGGGAACAGGTGACATACCTAATCAGCCCATTAAGTCGATCAGCAATCATGAAGAAAACAATATGACGGAGTAGTAGTGAGGATATGTGATCACAGCTCAAGGTGGTAAGAACCTTGGGAAAGGGGAAAGAACAACAAAGGCGGTGTGCAAAGTGTGGGAATTAATGCCAGAGGAATGGAATAGGCTGTGCTAGCGACCGCGACTGAGGCACAATGATAAATCCAGTGATGAGAATGTGAATCATATTTTAGAACTCGTGATATGATGAGATGAAACAATAAAATGGTAAGTTAAGCGTAGGAAAAACTCGTCAAGGGAATGCAAGGTGTAACAAACTCATTTTTCGTACATAAGTTTGGTTTCAGCTGACGAATTGCTACTTCTTCTGTATAACGTAACAACCTAATATTTCTTCACTTGTTGGTTGCCCCGAAAGCTGCCCTTGCCATATATGTTGCTGTAGGTTCAGGTGAATAAACAAATACAATTGTGGGTGATAAGAGGAGGTCTCACATCTAAACTAGTCTCTCTGATCATGTTCTTCGCGTCGCTTTCCAGTTGACTTGGGATATCCACCACACACCTGGAGCAAATAATTCTGTAGTTGACGCGTTGTCCAGAATATCTTCGATTAACCGTATCAAAGGTGCTGAGCTTATAAAACTGGTTCAGCTTCAAAAGGAATACCTGAGCTGATCTACGGGTAGTTATCCACAATTCTCAAGTTATAACAGCGCCCAGTAGAATCAAGTGCTGTTCCTATTTTGCGCTATGCACCCGCCAGAGAACTACTTCCAATATTTTCGAGTTGTCGATAGAACTCTCCGACACGTTGCACAGAATATCTCGTCCGGGTGTAAGGGCAGCCATCAGGCTTATCGTACAGTGTTTCCGTTGGCCCGAGATGAGTAGAGGCGCCAGACAGTTTGGACCATCGTGCATAGCCCGTCAAAAGTGTAAAATAGCACGGTCGGCAGAAAGCCCCTTAGATCCTTTTTCGGCCCAAGATGTGCGCTTCCACCACATCCACATTGATATCGTTGGACCCCTACCAGAACTTAATGGATACAATTATCTTTTCCCTCTATGCAGATGGCCTTACAAGATGACCAGATGCCATGCTTATTACAGATAGTATTTCCGAAACCGTCGCCTCAGCCCCACTTTTGTTTTCCCCGGTTCCGAACGAAAGTTTATAATCCACATACAAAAGCCATGGTAGAATGTTTTCATCGACAACTTGAAGTCGCTTTTTCGGCCGCAGACATGACTCAGTGGGCCGAGCGCTGCCTTTAGTCCTGATGGTTATCTGGGACGTGCACAAAGCCGATTCCGAACGCACTTCAGCGGAACTCGCTGAAGGAACCACTCTTCGCCTACAAGGTTAGTTTGTCTCCGTTTCATTTGTCATACATGTCGTGAATAGAGAGTTTTACGTGACTAGGCTTGCGAAATCCATGTGTTTGGTCAAACCTACCCTTAATTGACCCCAACCAAATGATGTATTCACTCATCCTACGTCACAAAAGTCAGTACACGTCCTCATCAGCAGTGGTACTGTTCCTCGACTGCCTGAACTAGCCCACCCAAGGTGGTTGGGCAGCACTGAAAACTTTGCGTAACCCAAAGAAGCAGGCACCGAGATGTTATTAGCACCAGCCGTTTGAAACCAACTTACTCTGAAGGCATCTCCAGGGCCAGCAACGTCTCCTTCAAAGAAGCCTACAGATGGACTCTGTGGTTATCGCAATACTCGACGATATGCCTCGTGATACAGAGATACATAATATATTTCGGATAATAAATTTTACGAACACATGCAGTTTTCACTTTTATCGGTGAGGCTGAGAAAATCTAGGAAGAATACATCACCACAACATACGTAGTCTGCCAGGATGCAACCATTCAACTGTTACCGGCTAGAAATATTAGACACTAACCCTTTCGCTATATAACACTGTGAGTAATCACATAGGGATTATCACCCAGCATGAGCTTTAACCAGGCAACTGTGACTAGGCCTCTACACTTCAGTTAATGAGCAGCATAATCAGTAAAAGTACATAGAATATCAAACGCTGAGCATAAGTAAGACTGAAAAAATGCAAATAATCAACAAGTTTTCGCCGTTTACAGAGCATTTAAAACTAGATTTAAGTCATGGTATGGACCGACGACAAGACGTGGAACCACTGTCATGCGGTATCATGCAGCATGTAGTGATTGTTCGGTTTTGTATCACTGAAAACAAATTCACGGGAATAAAGTAATCTAAAGTTGTGACTCAGCCCAGAAACTGTTCTCATTTTGTGGCCCAAGAAGCGTGAGGTCCCATCCTTAAACCACTCAATATGTTTCCAGGGTTGGCGCACCACATGAAGTCGGTTTCGATTTTCTTCACTACGAGGTGAGTGGTCGTTATTAATCTGAGATCCTGCATGTTTGGATACAAACAGCACGTGATACCAACATTTCTAAGTACAATCCCGATCGGAGCCAAGAGTTTGAGGTGAATTGTCAAATTGATCAGTACGCAGGGGTCTCATTGTGAATCTGCCCACGAGGAAGAAAAGAAACATAGGTATGGAACAATTTATCTTGTACCCAAGTCGATGAGTAACAAGATGTGAACAGAATAACCAAAGAAAGAGAAATCAAATGTAGGTTTAAGAGTTGTTGCATAACAGTTATCTGTCTTTTCATTGATAAACTATTATTATTATTATTATTATTATTATTATTATTATTAGTCCCTTGGGTTCTTAATGGGACATAGGGCTTCAGTAGCACGTCCCCAATGAGCTCTGTTCTCTGAAATCTTTTGAACCTGGCTCCAAGACAGCCCACAAGCTCTCATTTCCTCCTCGCACCATCTCCTCCATGTCACCCTCGGACGCCCAACTGGTCTCTTCCCATCGGCATTCCACTCGATTGCATGACGTATGATGCCCCCAGTCGGCCTTCTAAGTGTATGCCCAATCCATCTCCACTTCCTCCTGCATATTTGTTCAGAAATAGATTCTTGGTTGGTTCGTTAACAGTCAGAGTTCCTTGTTGCTTATTCTTTCTGGCCATCTGATCTTCAGTAGCGAGCCAGCGTAGGCAGTTGCTGATGAATGTCTGTAGTTTATTGGAAATCCCTTTCGTAACGCGCCAAGTCTCTGAACCATACAGAAGCACTGACTTGACTGAAGTTGGTGTTGAAAATCCGGATCTTGTTCCACATGCCGAGTGGAGTGCAGAAGATCTCCACACTGGTTTCAGGCTAATGAACGCCTGCCTTGCTTTTCCGATTCTGACTTTCACATCCTCGTCTGTTCCACTGCCGCCTGTAGTTGAAACAGTGCTGCCTAGATAGGTGAAGGAGGTTACTTCCTTTAAGTTTCTCCCGTTGATGGTGATTGGAGTTTGTTGTTGTTGGAGTTGTTGGTGCAGTATCTTCACCACCTCTGTCTTCTCTATATTCACTTGAAGTCCCGTCTTCGCTGCCCCGCCTCTTCTGCCAACTTGTT